CCCTAAACGCCCTCAAAGCCCTAAACCCTCAAAGCCCTAAACCCTAAAAGCCCTAAACCCTGAAAACCCTGAAAACCCTAAAAACCCTAAAAACCCTAAAAGCCCTAAACCCTAAAATTAAAATCCCCGCAGGATCCCCAGCTCCTCCCTGGACTGCGGGCACGCGCACTTAACAAGTGCTTGGCGTAATTTAGGGTTTAGGGTTTAGGGGTTTAGGGTTTCGGGTTTAGGGGTTTAGGGTTTGGGGTTTGGGGTTTAGGGTTTGGGGTTTTTGGGGTTTAGGGATTGGGGTTTAGGGTTTAGGGTTTAGGGGTTTAGGGTTTAGGGTTTAGGGGTTTAGGGGTTTAGGGTTTAGGGAGTCCATACGTTTTGTCAAAGGCTTGGGGGGGTTCCTTCTTGGCGTCGCTGCTCTGACGGGAGCTAGTATACTAGCTCAGATACTGCAATGTACTATGATATGCATGCAGCACATGGCAAACTCTTCTGTCGAGGCTCTGCTGGTGCCGACGCCATTTTTCAGATGCTGTAAAAGTTCGAAATGACTGCACTGTCCGTCTGGCGAGAAGTTAGGCTAGGCCACTTCAGTTTTGAACCGAAATCAGAGTAGAAAGCAAAGGTGTAGCTCCAATGTCAACCTGGTTCTTCTGCAACCAGGCCTCATGGGTCAGAGTGTGGAACCCGTGGCAGATGAACCCTCCTGAGGGCCAAACTGTGCCATCCAGCGAGGAGGTGGAGAAGCGGCCGTCACTCAAAGCACCTGCTCTTTTGCTAAGTTCGCCAAGACTCAAGTTTAGGGCTTAGGGTGTGGTCGTACATGTAGGCTTGTCATGGGGATCAAAACCACAGAACAAATCGAGCCAGAACGTGACATGAATACTGACATCTGTCTAGTCTGTCGGCCCGAACGGACTGTGTGGGAAATTGGAGACCAAACCAAGAAGCAAACCAGACATGATGGCACCGAGAACACCCGCCCAGAGGGCCCAATACCCCTTCATTAAGGAATATGCCATAAATCTTAAGATTAAAGCCCCCATAGTTTAAGGCATATTCCTTAATTAAGGGCTATTGGGCTCTCTGGGCGTTTGAGGTCCCGGCAGCAGCTAGTAACGGTGTTCGTGTGCTCTGAAGTGCGCGGGAGGGCTTCGGCCTGCGACGAGAACATCGCGGCTTTCTTCGTTTCTTACGAACAAACCCGGACATGTCTTTCTGCGCCTTGTTTCTATAGACTCCAGAGGTATCCTTCGCCCTTGTTGTTTCCCCTTGTTTGGCCTAAGGGTTCGCCCTTTGTGTTCTGGCATGCACGACACTCTGAGCTGCATCCTTCAACTATAAGCTTGTTGCAAAATGAGATGGAGACGATTCTGTTCAATCCACGACTGCTTGCGTAGCTTCAGGATGCACGTGAACTCGCGGACCAGTCTGGCGAGGGGCTGCTAGCACCCACATATGATAGCCGATACCGGGCACAGTTAATTCTCACTGCACAACTCAAGGCATCGAACTGAAAGTTGCCATCTCAGATCTTAGTCTGATGTTCAGACTCTGGCGGCAGCTAATTACTGTGCTCCTACTCCTGCCCCTCATCACTTGTGGCAGACTTATCTTATCGGACCAGGGTTTGTAACAGTGGGAAGTAAACGTGGGAACATGGCATGCAATTCATCCTAAACCCTAAACCCCGTCATATACGTGCATCTTGAAGGCACAATGCCCGGCACGTGCGAACAAACACTGCCGCTGCCACTGAAACTTGGGACCCAAACCCCGACATCGCATGACACCTGACCGGGGAGGGCTGGCACATTTGGGGCCATTAAGGTTTCGGGTCCTCTGGAGGGTTGAACGTAATGTATGGCAAAACGGAGTGCGCTTCGTAGACCGAGCACTGCATCGTGCCTTCGCGCCAGACACGCTGCTGCGGAATCCTGTCGGCAACAGCCGCGAAATTATAAAGAATTGGCACACTGTGGCAAGTAGCGACAAGTAGAGGAAAGTTTGAGAGCCAAAAGGCCGGGGAATCTGGGACAGGATCCTTTTCGAGAATCGGGGCTTGACGGCAACGGGGAGCTGCGACATCGTGTGCACGAAGTGCATCTTATGCTGAATTTTGAATTCATTGGCCAGCCCGTGCTAAGTCGGCTAAACCCTAAACCCTAAACCCTGGTTGGTAAAGGCAGAAACGTCCAAGCAGGCACAACAGCAATGAGCGGCTCTGTGCACTGAAGACTTTAGTCTGCCGTCATTATGCGCCACGCAGGCTGGCAAAGAGTCAACTGAGTTTTTGTCTACAGTATGCATATATGCATATACGCATATCCATATACAAATACATTGGTATGCATATACATATACATATACATATACATATACCTATACAAATGCATATATGCTTACACAATCTTACACATACATACATACATACAT